ATATCAATATAAATCGTGAGGATACAAGCAACAAAGTTACAGTTATTTATTTATTTATTTATTTATTTATTTATTTATTTATCTGTCATATTTCTATGAGCCCACTCTCCGAGGACTCTGGGTGGCTTACACCAAAGACAGTATACTAAATAGCATATTGCCCCCTAACAATCTGGGTCCTCATTTTACCCACCTCGGAAGGATGGAAGGCTGAGTCAACCTTGAGCCGGTGAGATTTGATCCGCTGATCTGCTGAACTAGCAGTCAGCTGAAGTAGCTGCAGTACTGCACTCTAACCACTGCACCTGTCATGCAGTCATAAGTGGAAGGAGATGGGTGATAGGAATGGTGAGAAAACTAATAGTAATAGTAATGCAGCCTTAGTGAATAGTTTGACAGTTTGAGGGAATTATTTGTTTAGCAGAGTGTTGGCGTTCGGGAAAAAAACAGGAACAAACAAAGAAGAGGGGGGTCAACCTATTCTCCAAAGCACCTGAGGGCAGGACAAGAAGCAATGGATGGAAACTAACCAAGGAGAGAAGCAACCTAGAACTAAGGAGAAATTTCCTGGCAGTGAGATCAGATAATTAGTGGAATGACATGTTGTGGGTGCTCCATCACTGGAGGTTTTTAAGAAGAGATTGGACAACCAGTTATCTGAAATGGTATAGGCTCTCCTGCTTGAGTAGGGGGTTGGACTAGAAGACTGCCAATAACTCTGTTATTCTGCTCTGCGTGGATCTATTTTTATTTCAGTCTCTTAATTAAAAACCCTCCGAAACGTGTAAATTGGGAAGCAGGCCTGCTGAATGCAAAATACAAGCTTTTAATATTCTACGTGGATCCTGTAAGTACTCCTAGAGCAACAAAATCAATGGTAGCCATAAGTCTTTTTTTTTCCTTCTTAGTTTGGAAATCACCTGTCTTGCTTAGAAAACCCTCCGAGATGTTCTGTGGTGGTAGAGATCATTCCTGGAGAATAGAAGTGATGGTAGGGAGCAAACGTACCCAATTTGACTTTGATTAGGGGGTGTTCTTGTCAGCCACACCCACCAACCCATTTTTTTTGGAGAGAGACAATTTATCGACAGAAGATTTGTAACTCAGGGTTGAACTGTGGGGTTCTTGTGCTCTCTGGTTTTCTTGTAGACATTTCATCACCAAACTAGGTAACATCATCAGTGCTTAGAAGGGAGTAAGGTTTGTTCTTATTTTTACATGTTCGTGGTGTCCACATTCTATAAGTACAGGTAGTCCTTGACTTACAACAGTTTGTTTAGTGACCGTTTCAAAGTTACAACGGTACTGGAAAAAAAGTGACTTGTGACCGTTTTTCACACTTACGACCATGGTGGCACCCCCCCCCCCCATGGAAGTGTGATCAAAATTCAAACACTTGGCAACTGACTCATATTTATGACGGTTGGCTCATGTCATCCCCTTTTGCGACAAGCAAAGTCCACGGGGAAGCCAGATTCACTTAACAAACCGGGTTACTAACTTAACAACTGCAGTGATTCACTTAACAAATGCGGCCAGACGGGTCGTAAAATGGGGCAACGTTCACTTAACAACTGTCCCACTTAGCAACAGAAATCTGGGGCTCAGTTGTGGCCATAAGTCACGGCTTACCTGTATTCTACAAAATACTTGTACGAATACGAAGCACGAATGCTTATTCGTACAATGGAGAAAATGTAGGAGAAAAATGAATGCTGATTGGGAATGCAGTCTTATTTACCCAAGACTCATCTTTTTGCATACGACGAGACTTATCCCTAGATGATTATTTCCAGGGTTGCACTGTGAGCCTGCAAGCATCTGCACATTTATTTGGAAACTCGTGCCAAACTTGATGTTGTCTTAAAATACCTTGGTGAAATCAAGTGAGATGACTTAGTAATTACGCAGCCGTCTACCTCATTTAAGGCTAGTTATCAAGGACGAGATTTCCAGCTCTTCAGCATCCTCAACAGGTAAGCTGTCTAGTTTTTGGAGTGATCATTTGCATGCGAGACCGACGGTGGTGGTTTAACCCACCTTCGTAGTTAATCTTGAATGGCAGACGATCCCCAAGGGTTTAAGGCAGGATATATTTTTTTTGTCTCTAGCCCTAGCTGCAAATATGAAATTGGAATGGGGAATATTCTCCATGTCAGCTTACTTCTAAGCCATTACCTCTCTCTTGTTCATTCATCTCCACACAGCTGGTTCTATTGCTTAACCGCTTTTAAGCTATTTCTCTCTCTCTTCCCTCCCTCCCTCTCTCTCTCTCTCTCTCTCTCTCTCTCCATTCAAACACAATTTGCAACAGTGTTTTTTTTCCCCCATTTGGCTTCAATGAAAATATCACCTGCCTTTCCTGTGTACAAACATTTGATACCTGTTTATTTTTGGAACCTCAGTCATCGCACTGCCACAGGCGTGGCTCCAATGATTCCTTTCCTACAGTTCAACAGTTGATGTCTCAAAGGTATTGTTTCCAAAAGGCAAATTGGGCTTTTTTGCTTTGTTTTAGTTTTTTTTCCCCTTGAAAACATTTCGCTTCTCACCCAAGAAGCTTCTTCTGGTTCTGGAGAAGCTTCAAGGAAAGAAAGAAAGAAAGAAAGGAAGGAAGGAAGGAAGGAAGGAAGGAAGGAAGGAAGGAAGAAAGAAAGAAAGAAAGAAAGAAAGAAAGAAAGAAAGAAAGAAAGAAAGAAAGAAAGAAAAGAAAATCCAATTGCCTCTTGGAAAAGCACCTTTGGGACAATTGTGAGCTGGATGATTGAGAATCTCCATAGACATCCAACAGTAGATCTTAAGAAAACAAAATATTTAACAAAATATTACAATGGAGCATGATCTTGTTCTGGATACACCACTCCTTTCCTCTTTCTTCTCCTGGTTCTTTCCTCCTCCTGCACAAATAGCTATTGAGCATTCATAATCTTCATTGGGCAAGTTCTGAAGTCTTCACAACTCAGAAACCCTTACTCAAACTTGGGAATTTTCTTCGACCACTCATACTGACTTCCTGGCATGAGTAATGCTAATACACCTACATAAACAATATCCTTCACTCCATAAATGAAAAAGAAATTGTAGATTTCAACCATGGTCAGGTCTCTATTTCTTTTAAGAAGGAAACTAACTCCATTCTCTTTTCTTTATATAGCTTTAGAGTCGCACACCACTTTCTCATTAAAAAAGAAACATACACCTAACTTTCTTTTCTCCACCTTCCAGGTGGAGAGAAAGTTCCAGAAATTCTAGAACCAGAAAGTCCTAGTTCTCAAATAATTATTGGCTTTTTAATGTTTTTTTTTCTCTCTCAGCAAGTGAGAACAAGAGATCAAAAGATGAAGTTGTTTACTTTGGAGTTTCACAGTGTAGGAGGATCCATTACAATGTCACTAAGTGTCACTCCAAAGTAAACAGAATTTACTTTGGCTGCTCCACCATAGCTCAACGTGGCTGGGATTTTTCATGTACCAATGCAATCCAATGCATGCTTGTTATAAGTTACTCTCAAAGTCTTTATATAAACTAATGTCAAGTCAAGAATGTAGAGATATGGGTATGATGACATCAAGAAATCCATCACCCTCTCGAATATACTGATGAGTAGAAGTGTGGCGTGCAAAATTGTGAATAAAGTTCAGTGTAAATGAGCTCACGACGTTTCCAGAATTAATCTTCCTCCCCATCCTGCCCTACTTCTGTATGATTCGATTACATCAGGGTTAAACTCAACCCTGGGTTTACCTTATAACTCCTTCTTCTGCATATTGATATAGTAGAAAGGAGGGATAAAATTTGACTATGCAACTGGCTGATTTTTTTCAGGGATATTTCTGCACATATTCATCGCTCGATGGTTGGAATATCAGGTAAGGCTTCCACGAAAGTACTAATAATACAAATCTGGCTGTAATCCTTTAAATAGTCAGTTTGGACAAAGGAGCATCTGTGTCTCTATTCATTCTTTTAATGCACAAGTGGCACCTGTAAAATCTTTAACAATGACATCACAAAATTTTAATAAACTTAAACAACACCTGAAGTGATTGTTCTAGATAGTTTCTAGTGATCACATCAGAGCATTCATATCTCTTGGCCTCCTTCCTCAAGATTACATCATTTAAGGAAGATCTCTCTCTTTTTGCATTATACAGAGCTGGCCCGGTTCCATCCTATAAATTATATCATCCCATCCTTTACATTTCCTTTCCCCCTCCGTGATCCATTCCTATCTCAGATCCACCAGCTGGGGAAAAAACAGCTGTGCCTACAAAACTTTGGAACCCAGGCTCAAAGTTGACCTCAGTTCTGAACTTCAAGCTGCTTACAGGATAAAATACTCGAAACTATGAAGCAAAATAGGTACCTTGAGCATATATTTGATTTTGGGAAGTGGGGTCTACAGGCAGTCCTTTTCTCTGAGGTTCAGGGGAATCAGATCCCAACCTTTCAGGAGAGGTTGTCCTCCTCCAGCACTTCCAGAAGATGCAAGGTTCCTAAAGGTACCCAGAATTTTGGATGGTGGCCTATGCGACTCGTCCTCTCAAGGGAAAACCCCCCCCACACACTTCCTATCTTCACCAGACCCAAAAGCGAACCCCTCAATTGTCTCCCCAGCTCAAAACTTTCAACCCATTAGCACGCTTCCCCTTTCACCCCCACTTCCTTCTCGCTCAGCTATGTTACTCGGGACAGCTGAACTTGTCCGTCGTCGAGGGACCTCGGAGATGGTTTCCCCCCCCCCACCCGTATTCCTCTGCTACCCAGGCGACCGCCATCCCAAGTATAGGATGCCCTTGCCTGAGCGCGCATCCCTTCGGCCTCCGCGCCAGCGGCCCCACAACCTAAGAGGAAACTGCGCGGAAGCTCCAAACCTTCCCAAGATGCCAGCGCAGCATCCATCCTCCACCACCCCAACCCGTTCCTATCCAAAAGCGCGCAGGGACCCAGAAGGCTCGCTTCAGGATCTTCCCTTTCTTTGCGCCCCTCCCGCTCCTTACCTGAGACAGCCCCACGGAAGACACACACACACACACACACACCCCGGCCCAGCCGACGTGGGCGAAAGCGCAGCCGGTGCGCCCCGATCGTCCGGGCGCCACACCGCTGCGCCTTCTCGCTTCTCCTCCTCTCCACCTGCTCTCTCGACCACCTAATCGCAGGACGCACAAAAAGGCCTCCCCCGTCGGGAAGAAGAGAGGGGGGGAGACGGACGGGGACCCCATTGGCTGGCCGCGAGCGCGCCGGCTGCCCATTGGGCGCGGGCGGGGCCGGCGCTGACGAAGAGCTGGGGTTGGCGAGGGAGAGGCAAGGTGGGGGAGAGGCGCGCCGCGGCGGCTTTTGTGTGTGCTCGGTCGGGCGGTGGGGAGCGGTCGGGCCAGAGCTGCGGCAGAGAGCCAGCCAGCCAAGCCAGGCGGGCAGGCAAAGGGGCAGGCAGGCAGGCAGGCAGCGAGCGCAGCCAACAGGGCAGGGCTGGTGGGCGCCGTCGCAAGGCAGCAGCGGGCGGGCAGCCAGCAGCGGGGTCCCCCCTTGGCTTTGCCCCTCTGGTTGACCGGCTCGCTCGCTCTCTCGCAGCTCCCGCTTTCCCCTTCCCTGCACTATGCATCGGAGCGCTCCGCTTGCGCCTTGCCGGGGGCCGCGGGCGCTGTTTTCAGCACCTCGACGGGCGTCGCGGGCCGTGCTGGCGGACTAGAGGCGAGCCCGGGGCAGCTCAGGAGACGAGCCCGAGCCGGGCAGGGCAGGGCAGGGCAGGGCAAGGGGAGAGCAGCGAGGCTCAGCCAGCCACCAAGCCCGCCCGCCCGTCCGTCCGTCCCGTCGGAGAAGCCCGCCAGCCGCCGGGGTCGAGCCAAGCAGAAAGGCGAAAGGGAGTCGGAAGCGCGGCCTTGGCGTTGGCGCGATGCTGGCCCTGGAGCTGCTGAGCCTGGCTTGGCTAGCCGGCGTGGTGATGGGGCAGAACGAGACGGAGCCCATCATCCTGGAGGGCAAGTGTCTGGTGGTCTGTGACTCCAACCCGGCTTCCGATCCCACCGGCACGGCGCTGGGCATCTCGGTCCGGTCGGGCAGCGCCAAGGTAGCCTTCTCGGCCATCCGCAGCACCAACCACGAGCCGTCGGAGATGAGCAATCGCACCATGATCATTTACTTCGACCAGGTAGGAACCCCCCCCAAAAAAATCCGGGATGGGGGGATTTAAGGGAGGGGGTGTCGGGGAGAGGGGGGGAAGCGGGGAGGAGGGTTTTAGTGGGGTGGGAGAGGGGAGGGCGCACTTAGGACTAGAAGATGGAAGGGGGAGATGCCTTCAGAGGACTCTTTCCTGCTCTCTGCCACCTTCTGCCACCCTACTTTCAGTTCTCCGGGAGACACCCCGAGATTAGGGGTGGGAGAACAGACGGGGTAGTCAGTCCTCAGCCATAAAGTCAAATTTCCAGTCGAGTGCCCGGAGTGGAAACCTGGCTTCCTCCTCCTGTCTGGGACTACAAAACCTCTCCGTCCCAAGCATCAGGATTTATGGACCTACGTTGGGGAGGAGCAGCCCTGAATCTGGAGGGCTCATCTAGCCCAGCCTTAAGTGTCTCTATGTTCAGGGAAGAGAGTGAGACGGGAGACGGGAGGATGGAGTTTCGCCTTCAGTGTGGACAGCTCCCAATGGAAGGAGAGATGGATGATTGCAGAGAAATGACCTTAAAGAAAAGCTTTGATCCTCACCTGGGCAATATTCCTCCCTTTCTCTCTCTCTCTCTCTCTTTACCCCATGCTCTGTTTCTTCCCTCCATCCCATAGGTGCTGGTCAACATTGGGCTCAACTTCGACTCGGAACGCAGCACTTTCATCGCTCCCCGAAAGGGCATCTACAGCTTTAATTTCCACGTGGTCAAGGTGTACAACAGGCAGACCATCCAGGTGAGACTGCATGGCTTCTTCAACGGAGGGACTTTCCTTTTTTTTTTGCCCTGGGTGGGAAAGCAGCCCCCTCCCCAATTTATGCGAATGAATGAATGAGAGGGACCAACTGCTTTCAACTCACCTGTGAGCTCGGGTGAGGAACTGACACCCTTGAATTAAGCAAAGTGTCTTTCCGAGTCCCCCTGCCTAGCTCTAGGCAGGCACAATAAATGTTGAAGCTCTCTGCGAGGAGGTGTGTGTGCATATGCACACTTTTTGTGTGTACGTGTGTTTTGATGTCGAGACATAAGTGAGTGTGTGTCGTATCCATCATCTGCTCAGTGTAGAAATCTTGTGCCAGAAGCCATCCAGTAAAAGATAGTTGTTAATTTCCCAGTATGGAATACCCATTCTTGTATGTGTATGTGGTCTCTCTCTCTCTCTCTCTCTCTCTCTCTCTCTCTCTCTCTCACTCTCTCTCTCTCTCTCTCTCTCTCTCTCTCTCTCTCCTCTCTCTCTCTCCCTCCCTCCCTCCCTCCTCCCCCTCCCCCCCCCTCTCTCTCTCTCTCCCTCCCCCTCTCTCTTTCTGTGTGTGTTGGGGTTGCTTTGTGGATTTTGAAATTCAGGTCTGTGTAAATCAGGGTGACTGGGTTTTTCATTGCAGAATTATACTATACGGGGAAGATTTATGGGAATAATGTGTATACAACAGATACAGATTTAGAGAGAGAGATGAGAGAGATGAGAGAGAGAGATGAGAGAGATGAGAGAGAGAGATGGGATAGATAGATAGATAGATAGATAGATAGATAGATAGATAGATGATAGATAGATAGATGATAGATAGATATAGATAGATGATAGATAGATAGATGATAGATAGATGATAGATAGATAGATAGATAGATAGATAGATAGATAGATGATAGATAGATAGATAGATAGATAGATAGATAGATGATAGATAGATAGATAGATAGATGATAGATAGATAGATAGGTAGGTAGATAGATAGATAGATGATAGATAGATAGATAGATAGATAGATAGATAGATAGATAGATGATAGATAGATAGATAGATGATAGATAGATAGATAGATAGATGATAGATAGATAGATAGATAGATAGATAGATAGATAGATGATAGATAGATAGATAGATGATAGATAGATAGATAGATAGATAGATGATAGATAGATAGATAGATAGATAGATGATAGATAGATAGATAGGTAGGTAGATAGATAGATAGATGATAGATAGATAGATAGATAGATAGATAGATGATAGATAGATAGATAGATAGATAGATGATAGATAGATAGATAGATAGATGATAGATAGATAGATAGATAGATAGATAGATAGATAGATGATAGATAGATAGATAGATAGATAGATAGATAGATAGATAGATGATAGATAGATAGATAGGTAGGTAGATAGATAGGTAGGTAGATAGATATGATAGAACAATATATACTCATACAGTATATTTTCTCATGTACCTGGCCAAGAATAATGCAAAGGTGAAGAAAGTGCGTTGGGCCCTCGAAGGCTGAATTTTAATGCTACTCTTGATTTTAAAGCTTTCTTGGAAACAGCTACTTTCATGCCTCAGCTCTCTACTGGCTGCAGTAAAAATGAAATGAATAATGAGCCACCCTATTATTTATCATTGTTCATAAATCTGTCCAGTTCCTCAGCTTGGTCTTTGTCTCGCTTCCCACCATTCTGGATCTGAAAACAGTTGCCAAAAGCTATCCTGCCTAAATTGAGCCTTTCTGATTTATAGAAAAAATAGTGTCAGTTTTTCCGTTTAATGGTTTCATGCCTCCAGTATTTTGTGCTATAAGCCGGGCATTTTCTTTTTAAAAAGCTTCCCACTCTATAAAGTTGGATTTTCTTCCAAGAACACATCTTTAATAATGAGGCAGAATGTGCTAATATGCAAATTGTATCCATGCAGGGAAGCCAAATTTTTTTCTTTCCTTTCCTTTCCTTTCCTTTCCTTTCCTTTTCTTCTTTTCTTTTCTTTTCTTTTCTTTTCTTTTCTTCTGTTCTCTCTTCCCTTCCCTTCCCTTCCCTTCCCTTCTCCTTAACATTCCTTTAAATTCTCTCTTAGGAAGAAATAAAGTTGAATTAAGCGAGATGAAGTTGTGTTCACAAAAAGCATAAAATATGTTACAACTGTAAATCCGGTATGTGGATGTAAAAGGAAGGAGATCATTTTTAAAGCTAAGTGTGGACTAAAACCATGAGCCCCAGGCAGGTCTACTTAGAAGTAAGCTGGATTCATTTCAGTGAGCTGAAGTTCAGGTTTTATTTTCGAAAGTCTCTTGCACTGCAGAATACATAAACATACGCTCAGATTCTAGATAGAGAATGGTTGCCTAGCTGATTGAATTTCATTTTGGAGACAAGCACGTTTCCAATTTGTGCAAACTGTATTTGGTGGTGCATTTGTCATTCAACAGGCACAATCCTATTTCCTGTCATTGATAACATCCATGGCTCTTTCATCCATTGTCTGCTGTCCTCATAGGGGGTGTAAGCATTGTGTTTAGACCTGTAGTTTTGCTGTTGTTAAAAAGGATCAGGAACACCCTTTCTTGGGAACTACTTATAGCTTTTCTAACTCATGCTTGCTCCCTTTACGGACTATCAGACAAATGACTGGGGAAAGCTATCTTCTCGGTGGAAACCATGTTCCATGAAGATGTTTCTTTTTTAGACCAACAGGAGATGCTGCAAAATACTGTTTGAGTTTTTAAAAAACTCTTTGCTAAGCAAAATGTACAAACCGACTCCTGGAAGAGGGGAAAACGTGGTAGTGAGGTTTTTAACCCTGGCTTGCACCCAATTATCATTTTGCGAAGAAAGTTGGAACTGTCACCAAGAAAACCTGAATCTCTCAGGCACAGAAATAATGCTAGACTCCCTCGGAATTTGCTGATGGTAGAATAGCGTAAACAGCATATTCCCCCAACCCTTCAGCTTTTCATGAGGAACATTTGTCTGTATAATTGGGACCTAATTAAACGTCGCGTTCTTCGAAGTGAGAAAAGATCAGCTGTGCCGTGTTCATACGATCGGTAGCTCAATGCGTAACGTGCAAACCTGAGCCAGTTTTGCTTTCGTTCTCACTCTGTTTTTTCCTTGGTTAGGTGAGATTAGCATTTTACAAGAATTCAACCTGATGAGTTAATTTATATGCTTCGGGTGTATCCTATCCCCTCCATGGGTTAATTTTGTATCCAAGTGAATGGATTGTGAAAATGTAAGTTGACAGGTTGGTGATAGTACCATCTAAAGAACCTCAACCAACACCTCCTAGTCTAATCTAATCTAATCTAATCTAATCTAATCTAATCTAATCTAATCATCTATATCAGTGGCCCCCAACCTTTCAGGCACCAGGGACCAGTTCCATGGAGAAAGGTTTTTCCCCAGACTGGAAGGGGCGTGGTTTTGTATGCTGTCTGCATCCTGCGGACGGGGCTTCGCTGGTTTGTGTGGCCCAGTTGCTGACATGCTGCAAACTGGTGCTAGTCCACAGACGCTAGGTTGGGGACCCCTGATCTATATTAATCTAATCTAAGGTATATGCCTCCCAATAACTCGGGAACTCCTTTACTTTCCACTGCACACACACACACACACACAAATGGAAATTCATCTATTTGGAATCTTGAACTATGGAGAATTTAGACTCATCGATTGTCTCCTGGTCAGAGTGGGACTTCCTGAATCTTTGAGGTAGAGCCTTTTTCTTTCTCTATAAACTCTAAATTTGAAGGTGAAACTACATGCCTGAAAATGGACAGGTAAAGCGCCTCGTCCTTGCATAGGGTTGCTCAGAAGTCATCCTGCTAAACGGAGTGAGATTTAAAACCCGTGTGTGCAGCCTGGCTGCACCATAAATAACAATTTCTTTCATTTTGCTACTCAAAAGGTGCAAATGTATATTTCTTGAAGAACAGGGGTTGATTTCTGCTTTAGGAAGCCATAGCTCTAGCCTCCAAAAAGGCTAGAGATTTCTACATACAGGGCCAATTCCTTTTCCCTTTTATCACAGTCTCCTTGACTGACTTAAAATGCTAAAAAAAGGGGGGGAGGGAGGAATTGCCTTATTTAAATCTATCTATCTATCTATCTATCTATCTATCTATCTATCTATCTATCTATCTATCTATCCATCCATCTATCCATCCATCCATCCATCTATCCATCCATCTATCTATCTCCATATCACTTGGCAATAGTGATTGTGGATTTTATTAAGCCTTCACCTACCTTTTGTTTATAATTTAAGGACTGTGCACATATGCACAGTAAAAAGAGGGGGAGTGGATTTTAAGGAAGCGCAGAAAGAATGACATGCGAAGAAGGAAAATTGCATTACTGGGATTCTTTAATTACTGTTTGTGGCAGATTTTGCTCTGGATGTATGCAAAGTGTTGAGTTTCTAACATTCCTCAGAAAGAATGCTGTCATCTCTGTTGGGCCATGTTGCCAAGGTTTCAGCATTTTTGCTGGTCCACAAAAGACTAAGTCTCCCCACCCCACTCCCTGGCTTCGTAGACACTGCCCAGAAGAAGACTATTAGGGTATTTCCCTTGTCTGGCATTTGAAGATTCAGCATGGGAGACAAAGCACCCAGATTTCCGGAAAGAAAAGGACTATCTTACAATACAGAGTAGTGGCCGACTCTATTCCATGCTGGAATCTCAGCCATGATCCACATGCATCAAATTTGAGGGGTCAACTTTGAGCACACTGCTCGTAGCACTTACATGACCTCATTATTTCTTCTTCTTCTAGAAATCCCTAAAACAATTAGATCTATATATATTTTTTCTCTTCTTGTTTGATTGTCTATAACTCCATACAAGGATGAGTGGAGAAGCTGGGACTTAAAAAGGTAATTACAGTAGTGTTAAAGGGGCTTTGAAAGGTAATTACAGTAGTGCTAAAGCAAAAAACAAAAATCTTTATACTCTTGGATCTTTTGTTATTGCAAATAAATTTGATTTGCCAGCAGAAATAATGATAGATGATAGATAGATAGATAGATAGATAGATAGATAGATAGATAGATATTGAGACATAAGAGAGAGAGAGAGAAAATAGATAGAGTTGTAAGAGCGGGAGAGAGATAGACAGATAGAGATAGATGGATAGATGAAAAGAAGAGAGAGAGATGATAGATGATAGATAGAGAAAGGAAGGAAGGAAGGAAGGAAGGAAGGAAGGAAGGAAGGAAGGAAGGAAGGAAGGGTGATTATGTCTGATATTCATTTCTAAAAACTACAGAGGAACATTTTGATGCTGTCCAAAATCCCTTAAGCTAGCTGTGCCTCTTCTTCTTAACATTTCTTTGTTTCTTCTGCTGATGTTCAAGATCTTTATCCTGTGAGTTTCCTCTTGTGTTCCTAAGTTGACAGACAGACCCAGCAAAGTGCATCTTTCCATAGCATGAATTTAGCAAAGATGAATGATGCAACTGTTTTTGGTTTGGATAATTGCTGATAGAGCAGTCCCGAGCAGGTCTTATCCACACAGTTCCCAGGTCTGCAGCCCTGCTACCTTTTGAACACAAGGAGGACTGGCTTATGAGTAAACTGGTAGCAGGCTGTACTTCTATTCTTTCCTGTGCCCTGGCTGCAACATTCATAATTGAAGGAGCAGCTAACAGTATGTAATGAAGACTCTGTGGGTGGGGTGGGGGAGCTCTTTTTCTGGATGTTTTTAGTTAGAAGCACCCCCTCCCAGCTCCCTGCATGCCTGCAGCCATTGGATAAAGTCTTCCTTTGTTTCCCTTTTCCCTTTCATTGATGGGGAGGTGGGCTTGTCTTCTGCCTTTGCTTCCAGGTGAGCTTAATGCTGAACGGGTGGCCGGTGATTTCTGCCTTTGCCGGAGACCAAGACGTCACACGAGAAGCTGCCAGCAACGGGGTCTTGATCCAGATGGAGAAAGGAGACCGCGCCTATTTAAAACTGGAGCGAGGAAATTTGATGGGGGGCTGGAAGTATTCCACTTTCTCAGGATTTCTAGTTTTTCCTCTTTAAATGACTCGCTGACTGAAAGGAGGAAGAGGAGGAGGAGGAAGAAGAGGCAGGGGACAATTCAGCCAGAAGTAAGCTTGAGATTGGCTTACCGATTCCAACCCCTGAACTGAAGGAACTCGGAAACTGCACACACCTGGATAAGATCTACCCTGTGGCAGAAGTTTAAAACTCTGACTGAGGTTTTTGTGCTTGGAAGATCTCGGTAACAAGACGGACAGCTGTCAGGAGATGCTCGCGGTGGACATCTTTCAATAACGTCGCTCTCTTTTCTTTGCAAACAGTATTGCTGTCCTCTGCATTTATCTGGTGATGTTGTATCCATCAATTCCTCACTTTCAGTGTGTCTTTTGCACCTTTGCAACTTTCCCACTCCCCCAGGTTTTTCTTTTTTAAAAAAAATGTTTATTGATTTACTTGACACAACTCTCATAACAATGAATCTGGGGTTGTTTTTAACCATTCCACCTATCTATCTATACCTATATCTATCTATATATATGTATATGTATACATATTTTTTACTCTCTCCCTGAGTTTAACTTTAAAGAAAAAAAACAATATTTTTGAATATATGGTGCCATGGTAAGAAATGTCGTGCAAATGAGTGCTAGCAAGCAGACAAGAATACACGAGCACGTGTGCGCACACATGCATATATACACGCATGTATTTATGTATGTATGTCACTATGATGTAAGTTAAATACATTAACTAGCCTGCCCCATTGCTATGGAAATTGGAACGAAGTTTACCAACTGCTTGATGCTTTGGTTGGTTCTTTCTCCCTCCCTCTAGTCAACGTGTGGCTCAGCTACAGAAAATAGACTAAACTTTTCCTAGTTCACCTCAAAAGACAAATTGTGACCATTAAATAGATTAAACATTTCCTGATTCGCCTCAAAAGACAAATTGTGACTAGTGACCATTTCACCTCTTTTAATGGCCTTTTCATTTCATCGGGTTTTTTGTTTCTTTTCTTCCCCTTTACATGAGAAACTTGGCCCGGTTAATGCAATCGTAGCCAAACCTAGAAAGGAAAAAAAAAATGACAAGAAAGAAACTACAAAAGGCCAGAATAAATGAATACATAAGCAAGGCAGCCACTGTGTGCGTTGGGTGCGCAGAAGATCCAGCCCAAGAACTCCATCCGTGACAAACTCCAGTTTCTTGGAAAGACTGTGAATGAAACAAAAGTTCAAGGACTAGCAGCATAAAGACTTCCGTTTAACTGTATTTGATCTCTGGCTTTGTTCTGTCTCTTCCCATTATTTTATGTGGTGTTTTTCAATTCTGGGAGAAGAGGGAACGGGTGTGGGGTGAAACAACTGGTCAATTTTAGAGACTGTATTTTCAATCTGCAAACATCGCCGGGGCTGGTTAAGTCCTGAAGTGGGAGGAAGATGAGGGAAAAATAGACCCCTTTCTTCCCTTAAGGTGACAAATTTGCCCTCTGTATCCTGTATTATATCATATAATCTCTCCGTCAAATCCCATTTTCTACAGCTGTCTTATTAAAATGAAATTTTAAAAAAAGAAAGAAAGAAAGAACAAGGAAACCCTTCCGCGATAGACCTAAAATGCTAGTGTTCATTAATTGCTAGTATTATTTTTGTTTAAAGTATCTCAAAAGATGTAAATGCTATAATTTTGCAGCACTTCTAGAGAAAATAACTACTTTTATTATTATCAAGGTGCAGTTAAGATAAAACACTTTGGATTGTATTCGAATCATAATGTGAAATAATAATAATAATAATAATAAAAAAAAACACCGGTGGAATATATAAATAAATAAACTGGCCTCTTGGAGGAGTGGGGAAGAGACGGAGAAATAAATAGACCTGAATCTCCTTTCTACTGTACTGTACTGTTTTGTTGCCTGAAGGATACAGATCAGCCCTCAAGATGGAATTATTCCTTGATAAATCAAAAAATAGCCGGGACATGGGCAATGGCTGCTATATAGTTAAAATAGAATGGGTTTTCCTATCTTTTCTCCCCTCCCTTGCTTAAGAAACCCTGGGTTCCAAGAACAAATTTAATTAGCTCCTAAGAGGGCAGTTAATTCTAGCTTAATAAGCAATGTTATTCTTTTTATGCTTGCTGTCACCCTCGCCTTTTGTTAGGCGAGAAGAAGAAGTGTCTTTGTTAATAGCTCCCTTCGCAAGCAGACTTTAGAATGGGAAGTGGGTGGGTGGAAGGATGGAGGGATGACAAGCCAGTTCTTCTGAGAAATCTTTGGAGTGGACCAGAATGGCAGGCAAATAACGGTGACAGCTGTGGTCTCCCTCCTGAAAATGTGTTGTTTCTATGTGTGTTTTTGCATTTTGCCCGCTCCTGAATGGCATGCAGCTTGGACGGGTTGATTGTGTGCTCAGCTCACTTCTGGTACTTCCAAGAATTCAGGCCCCGAGAGATGTTCCTTCTCAGTATCTTCTGCTTCTCTTCTCTTTCCCCTTCTCCTCCTCCTCCTCCTTCTCCTTCTCCTTCCCCTTCTTCTTCTCCTTCTCCCCCTCCTCCTCCTCCTTCTCCTCCTCCTCCTCCTCCTCCTCCTCCTCCTGGTTTTTCCTAATTTGGGTAATGAAACATCTGCAAAAAAAAAAAACCCATCAAACTCAGAGAGCACCATGGACCCCACATTTCAACCCTAAGCTACAAATATTCTCCTTTCTTGGTATCTTCTCCTTCATCTGGTGGCTCAATGGGTTTGGGTGTCAACCCTACCATTTGAAAGTCTTCCCAAACTGAGGAATAGAGTTTTAAACCACTGGGAGAGCTGGTCCATTTCTTCCAAAGGAGAAAATAAATGTTGTGATTCAAGTTGCTGATTCAAAGAATGATGTTCATTTTGCCTCCTACTCTGATTTCTTAGGCAACTTATTGGGTCTTGTCTCATCTCAGTAGGAAAAGTAAAAGCATTAACCATGATTACAAAGTCTTCTTTTTCAGCGTCACTGCAGTAACATGCATGCAATGTTATCTAGACTTAAATGCTACTTTAGATGATGCTACATGATGATTATGATGATGTTTGGTTTATGAATAATTTGTTCACAGGCCTGTATCTGAGATAGTTGGGTGAACCCTGTGAGCAAGAAAAGAGGAGCTATAAATTCTTCCTTATAGGTCCACTTATTTTCCAAAGAACCAGAAAGCAGGATGGATGGAAACTAATCCAGGAGAGAAGCAACCTAAAACTAAGGAGAAATTTCCTAACAGTGCAGACAATTAACCAGTGGAATAGCTTGCCACCAGAAGTTGTGAGTGCTTCAGCACAGGAGGTTTTTAAGAAGAGACTGGATAGCCACTTCTCTGGAATGATATAAAGTTTCCTACCTGAGCAGGGGGTTGGACTAGAAGACCTCCAAGGTCCCTTCCAGCTCTATTCTAATTCCCCACCCCTAAACATTTCTCACGGCTTGGATTGCTAATTCCTACCACCATTTTATTTATCCGTGCTAACATGAGACGACATTGATTATAACAGCAGTTAAACTTTTCAAGCCCTAACAGAAGAAAGATGCTCAGTTTTGAGTATTACAGGACAGGGTGCAAAAGCTGGGAGAGCATGTTTAGAAAAGATAATCATTATACTGTTTCTTTTCTGCACACTGGGCAGTTTTATGCCAAAATACCTACCGCGTGGTGAAGGCTTTGCCTTCTGAAGTCTGTTCAGAGGGTTCAAACCCTTCCCCTATGCAGTGCAAACAAGGACCCTGAGAATCGGATCACGTTGTATAATACGGCAATGGTCTACTAAGCCATTGACTAGGGTGTCTATTGTTGCATGAAAAGGAAAGGCAATAACAAACTGTTATTCAGCAATAACAAAGAATTAAATTTGTACTAGGGGGGTGTTTACACCACATATAAAATCACAGACTAATCAACCATAATTTAGCTTAATGCAATGGTGCAAACCCAGCCATTCATCACTCGGTGTGTTGTAGGAGTCGAGCAAATTGGATTGATAGCACAGAACGCGACACCTCCGCAGAGACATGGAGATATAATAACGGTGCCTACCTCTATTGATTAATAGCTAGATGATACAAAGTGCAACATCAAAAAAATATATAGATAGATATTATGAATTCCCTCCCACTGTCCGGCTTCCTTGATGTTTTTTAAAATTAGAATTCCCCAATGTTTCCATCTTTGTGGAACAGTGTTGGGGGAGGGATGGTTTTGCGCAAGCGGCCGGGCCATTTCTGCAGTTTGGTTGAACCCCCCCCCCCAGGACAGGCCCACAGCTTGCCCCCCCTGCTTTAAATGCGGCGACTTTAAACTTAAATCTTCAGATGGAATATGTATTTAAATTGGCCCGCCCCACATGTACCGGTAGAGGAGGCATGCTGCGGGGCCCGTCAACCAGAGGTGGGCTTCAGCCGGTTCTGACAAGTTCTGGAGAACCGGTAGCGAAACTTTTGAATAGTTCGGAGAACCAGTAGTAAAAATTCTGACTGGCCCTGCCCCCATCTATTCTCTGCTTCCCAAGTCCCAGTTGATCGGGAGGAAATGGGGATTTTGCAGTAACCTTCCCCTGGATTGGGGTAGGAATGGAGATTTTACAGGGAATGGAAATTTTACAGTATCCTTCCCTTGACATGCCCACCAAGCCATACCCACCAAGCCACGCCCACTGAACCGGTAGTAAAATTTTTTGAAACCCACCACAGCCGTCAACCCGATTATTCTGTCTGGCAGGGTCCAGGAGGAGGGACTTCTCTGCTGTTTCTCCTGCCCTCTGGAACATCTTGCGTCCCCAAAATGAGGTAGGCCCCAACCTTCCTATCTTTTCATAAGGGCCTAAAGATGTGGCTCTGACAGTTGTCTTGGGGGCCCCAGTGGGGGAACAGCACAATGGAGGTGGTGGATTGAATAATAATAGATCCCAAGCAACTTTCAATCAATTGCGTTTTGATTATTATTAAAGGTTTGTGTTCCGTTTCTCGTAAAATATCTCAACGTGATATATGGTCGAAGTGGAAAACCATAATAAAGCACTAACTGACATCTTCTTTGTGTTTGTCCTTACTTGGTTGCAGGTTTGATTGTTTCTCCGAAGTGTTTTCCTCGTTCTTAGTTTATTGCTGGCTTGTTCTAGAGTCCCAGAGGTTGGTTTGGATTAAGTGGGAAGGACTGGCCCAAGGTCACCCAACTGGCATCCAAGTTTAAGGAGGATTAGGGCTTGTTCCAAGGCCACCAATATTCCTCGCTGGCTCTCTGGGGATAACACAGCAAGTTAAAACAGTACAGAAAATGTACTGTTAAGAATGGATGGAATTTAGAAACGAAACAAAAATAGGTCTCCATCATTCACATAGAGAAGATCTAGTTGGAAATATCATACCTAAACTAAACATTGTCAACTCCTTAACTTCTTGGGATTATCCAAGCTTTCTTAGGAATATTACAGAACTGGTTTGTAACTGCTTTCTTCTCGAGTGTCTTTCAGCTTCCCAGTCTAACCCACAACCCTGGGATTTGCAGGAGATGCCCCATTATACTCATTTATTTATTTTGTTTTAGGAAATTTATATTGCCGTCTATTCTCACATGGCAACTCAAGGTACTCAAGGCACATGGTACTCATTACACTGGAAAGCCGACAGGCCGGGTTTGAGACCCGAGCACTGTGCGATGGGGGAAGCTCCCGTCATCATCTATCTCCTGCCCATCTAGCAGTTCGAAAGCATGCAAATGCGAGTAGATAAATAGGTACCACTTTGGTGGGAAGGAAACAGTGCTCTGCAACTTCATGCTGGCCTCATGACTGCAGAAATCTTCGGACAGCGCTGACTCTATGAAACGGAGATGAGTATCACCCCATATAGTCGCTTAACGACTAGCGGAGTAAAATCCTTAAGGATTCCTTTCCTTTCCTTCCTTCCTCATTACACTTAGTTTCCAAGCCAGATTTGACTAGATGCTGCAATCTGTTGCAGCCTGATTAATTAATAAACAAGGACCACAATCTTATGCACAGAGTATAAGTATCGCTAAAATAAACCAGCTTTGTTTTGGGGTAAACATAAAACGGGTCAGGGTGCTGAGAGCTGAAACCAAACCCAATTAAACGATGTACAACTTCTAAGTGAACAAGGATTGGGCAAAATATATAACCGCAGTTTGGAAATACTGATTTCATAGTAAACACACATGTGCTATGTCAACATTTCAGCCGTATTTTATAGTTTTACCCTTAAAATTTTCTGCTTTGCCTCTTTGGTTTTTTTTTGCTTCTACTGTTTTTCCTTTCCTTAGAAGCTTCTCTCTCTCTCTCTCTCTCTCTCTCTCTCTCTCTCTCTCTCTCTCTCTCTCTCTCTCTCTCTCTCTCTCTCTCTGTCTCTGTGTGTGTGTGTGTGTGTGTGTGTAAGATGCACTGTCCTTGGTGCTGAAAACTCTTATTTTTTTCTTATATGTTGCATTTAATTATTTATCAGCTCTCCCTTTGTCGTTTCAAAAACCTCTGAATGGCGAGCCTCCTCCTCACCAGATATTTGTTGTTTGATGATGGCGGGGGCGACATGTGACCTCCCAGGATCCATTTTAATTTGATATACAGTTTGCTTTCCCCACTGGGAAGAATTATTTTAAGAACCTCTGCAAAGAAAACAAAACAGAGCAAGGAAGAGCAGTTAGAATATAACACATTTCCTGATTTGGTTGTCCCTCGGAAGTCAAAGGACATAAAATAGATTCTCCACAGGTTTGGAAACAAAAAGAAAATCTTTTGAGAAAGAGAGTTGAAAAGGAAGAGGGAGCTGGCTAGAAGGCCTAGAAATTGAGATGGCATCTTTAGAATTCCAACCTTGTTTTTGAAAGCAAGACTAGAAGCCCATGGAGTC